TCAAGGATAGGCAACAAATTTTACACGTTATAAATATTATAGTAGACGTATACATAAATATATATATATATATGTCGGTTCAAAGATCTCGCCAAGGTTTGCAATAAATTTTACCGATGTAGACGTAACGTTCGAACATTACACTTATCTCTTTCTTTCTTTCTTTCATTCTTTCATTCTTTTTTATTGAAGTTTCTTTGTTACCTTTTCTGTTTCTTCGAGTAAACCGAATCGTAACAACGTGTAACAAACGTTTCATCCGTGTCTCTTGGAGAATTTACGGAACATTTACGACACACGAACTATATTACAATCATCCTCGATATTATACTTCTTCTCTTTTAAAGTACAAAGGTCATTTTCGTGATAAAAATCGTTTAAGTTCGATTCGATTCGATTCGAACGGTTTTAAATCGGATCACGTTGGTGAAAGTTTTCGTAAAGTTTATCAACATAAAAATAAAATAAAAAGAAGTAAATATAATCAATGTAAATGATACGAAGTGTGTTAAGATAAAAATCTTCTATCGAATAAAACCAAATATTTATAGCGTTATTTATCGATAAACTGTATAAAAAAAAGATTGTCATTCACATAATTAGCATATATTCGAGAAACGATAGAATGGCGAGAAAAGAATATATGAAAATGAATATACGATAAATTTATTACGAAATTTCGATATATTGTCAAATTAATTTCAAAGATATGAACAACATTTTCATGGCGAAATAAGTTAGACAAAAATTACATTAGACAAATTGATATTATGAATTAATAAGATATAAGTATGTTTGTAGTATGGTATAATAGTTTTGGAGATAAGATATTAGCATAAATTAAAATAGGCGAGAATGGAAGACTAATAAGTACAATGATATGTCAAGGATTTTGACGTTGAAATAAAATTAATAAAGATTCATTAGACAAAGTAATAATACGAACTAATAAGGTATAAATATACTTATAGTATTGTATAATAATTTGGCATTGATTAAATACATGAAAAAGGAAAGATTAATAAATACAAATATATGACAATACTTTAACGTCAAAATAAAATCAATAAAAATTCATTAAACAAATTAATAAAAGATATAATTACATTTATAACATTGTATAATAATTTGTGAAGATAAGACATTGGCATAGATTAAATAGGCGAGAAAGGTAGAATTAAACAATGAGAAGAATACGAATAAAAAGTAAGGGCTCAAGAAAGGGTATAGTAATCGTTGACCACCAGCGGTGCGTTACAAGGATTCTAAATAAAGGCAGACTCGTACCAACGTTAGGAAGAACTTGGGCTCTTACCCCACGCTGGCAGGATCTAACCAAACGTGTTTTCTGCGGGTGGCACTTACGAAAGAGAGAAAGAGAAAGAGAAAGTACGAAGGATAGAAAGAAATAATGAAAGAGTTCAAGAAGAAGAAAAAGAAGAAGATTGGACGTCAGTCAGTTATAGCAATGGAAGTATTGTATGCTTGATGCAAAACCTCGACTTATCTTCTTTAGGGATGGGGGAAGAAGGAAGGGGGAAGGGGGAAGGTAGGGGGTGGGGAAAGAAAAGATCGCACTGATCGATAAGCAAAAAGTGATCCTGATTGCTTTTCTCGAATCATTTCGAGTCCATTGTCTTTTCTCGGTTATATTTCTCTAATTTTTTGTCATATATTTTATTATTATTATTATTTTGTTTTTGTTTGTTTGTATTATGCGACGAAAGTATTTATTTATGCGAAAATAAAGTCACTAATAATTAACGTTTATGCTATCGTCTGAGTTATTGCTCGTTTAATAAATGTTAATTAATTAATCATTCGGAAAAAAATAAAAATTGAATGACGTTGACACTTTTTAAAAATGGTATTAGATAAATGTGAGAAGATGTTAGTTAAAAAATTACTCGAATTCGTCAATGGGAAAATAAAATGATACAATATTGTATGAATTAATAATTGTTTGCATTAAATACAATTGTAAACATTTTGTAATATATCTTATACTTTAGAAACCATTGGATCTAATAATAAATAAAAAAGTAAAAATACAGAAAAGAGAAAATGACAGACAGATAGTTTTAAACCTTTCCACTTCGAATTATATTTTCGCAAACGTTTTTAAATGTTTCATTTGAAAATTTACTTTAACTATAAAATAATACAATATAATATAAATAGAGATAAATAGAAGAAAAGAAACAAATACAATATTTAATAAATAATCCGTCCGTTTTATTTCTACATTATCGTACTGTATTTAAAAAAAATAATTTTCAAATATACGATATATTACATCTCGAGATAAAAATTCATGTCGAATCACACTCGACATAGATGCATACAAATATTTAATGCAATATAAAAGTGACTTTAATAAAATGTTATGTAGAAAATATAAGAAAGAGAAGAACGATGAGAGAAAGAGAAAGAGAGAAAGAATGAAAAAAAGAAAAAAAAAAAAAAGATGTGAGTTGCGTGGACGGTCCTTTAAGTTGGAATTGGTCGATAAGTCATATCCATCGGTGGGCCGTTCTACGTGTCAGTACTGTAATATAGCAATACGATTATACTGAGTAATGAATACCCGAAAGATGTAATTATCGTGTAATTACGGGTACGAGAAACGTTAACGAAGTGAAAAAAAATGTTAGCTTTGCGTTCACTTTAATATCGGACCTTTGCTTTTTGCGTTCTGGAATTTATAGTAACGCATTCCGTCCACCACTTTTGATATCAACCCTCTCATATACTCTCCCTCTCTCTCTCTCTCTCTTTTATGCACTCTTTCGTTTACATATACATCGAAACAAATCGTTAAAGTGTATCGAAGATAATTACTACTAGTCGTTTAAAAACAAAAAAAAAATTGTATATTGCGTACACCAAGCGTACTTTACAAAATATTAATAATAATAATAATAAAACGTTGAATGTGTGTGTTAACTTTACGCCATGTAGATTTTGTCACATAGTAATCTTTTCCTTCTTCTTCTTCTTTTTTTTTTTTCTATTTCGTTACTGGGGTTATATACTTACTTTTCGTTGTTTCTTTTGCTACATTAATATCGTAATGCGAAAGATATGTTATTAATAAATAAATAACGACGAAAATTAATACTTTCTATCAATTAAAATGATTTCGTGTATAATTGGGGGAGGGGGGGGGAGTGAAGAATAATATTTATAATTAAATAAATGTTTTGTTTTCACTAATATATCAAATATATATATCTGAGAGATCAAATAAAATATTTATCATTTTAATTCATTCGAATAAATGGTACGTAAATTTAAGAACGAGATATTAACTTACTTCTTATGTTAGATAATTCTTAATTTATAATTCATAATCTCATCAAAATTATATATAATAATTAAACTTAATAATTTATTACTTTATTTTTATCTATCTTATTTTTTATAATCAATAATTGCTATGATTATATCGTTAATTAATATTTTTGTTCATCCCATTGTTCCAATTATTTTCATTAACAATTTCAATTTCATTTCCTCACAATTAATTCGAAATGTTCTTCGAGGTAAAGAAAATGTCACCTAAGAAGGATTTATCATTCGTTCAGATAACTGACTGTTGTGAAACGAAAAAAAAAAAGAAAAAGAAGGAAATAAATAAAGTAAAAAAGTAGGAAAAAGAAAATGATAGAGAAATTCTCCAAGAGTAGTCGTAATTACGTATGTAAAACTGGTTGTTCTTTTACTTGAAAAGGAAAGGAAAGGAATGGAAAGAGATACGAAATAAAATCAAATAAATACAACTTCTTCTTCTTCTTCTTCTTTATATTCTACTTTTTCTTTTTCTACTTGGCAAAACAAATGGAGCATTGGCTTCCGGCTACTTAGGTGCAACAAACACGGAGATAAATCTTTCGATGCGTTTACTCTCTCTCTCTCTCTCTCTCTCTCTCTTTCTCTCGTTGGTAAAAACAACAAATAGGAAAAAAATTTGTTGCACCGTTGAAACGGTTGTCTTGTTGTTTTCGCGTACACGATGACATTTTACGTTAAATTATTGTAAAACGTTCCTACGTAATTTCTACGATCCGCGATGACAATTTTACTTAAAACAAAAAAAATACAAAAAAAATTGGATCTAGAAATTCGATATTATCTATAATATTATCTATAATAACATATGAAATTAGATGGATAAATTAAAATATAATTTAAATCAATATAAACCCTGTCTAATTTTAAAACTTTTTTTATTAATATTCCTGTTATTATTAATTTTAGAATCCAAATTAAATAATTATCTTAAAATGTTACAAGATAAAAGAAATAATATATTTTAAAAATAACAATCGTTTAATATTCAATAGATGTATTTCTGTAAAATATAAAATCAATTATTTATTTATACCAACAAAAAAAAAAAAGCCAAGTGATTATCGGTTCGCGTATTTTTCAAGTACCTAGTTTGATATTAATTTTCTATATAAAAAAAAAAAAAAAAAAAATAGGTTTAATACTTATTATATACGTAAGAGAAAATACGTATCATATATATCAAAGAAGAAAATAAGCCAATCAGGTAGTTCGTTGTGTATATTAAACGACGTCGTCTATAGCAATTAATTTCTTAATCTACGGGCCCCACATTTTTCATAATCAACCTCTCGTCAACACAACTTTCCCCCTAGTTCCACCCTTCTCTCCCTTTTCCTTTCTTCACAAAGAAAACAATAAAAAACAAACAAAAAATAACTTATCGTCGGTCGTAAAACCCCGATCGATAGAATAATTAAAAACTAGTTCCCTCCCTTCCTATTTATTATTTCTAAATTATTTTTCTAATTTTTTGTTGGATTTTTCTTCTACTTTTAAAAGGATCGATGTATAATACTTTCAACGTTTCATGATTTCGATAAAAAAAATGGATCAATGATCTGAAAAATCTTCGTAATATTGAAACAAACAAACAAATTCATTTTTTATAATTTTAATGTTATATTATTATAATATCACACACTCACCGAGTCAGCAACATTAACTTCAGTTTCACGAAGCAGAAGGGCGTTGCAAACGTCGGTATGTCCGAGTGCTGCAGCCAATAGCAAAGGACTTCTTCCATTCTGAATACAAAAAAAAAGAAAAAAACACATTAAAATGTATATAAAAAGTATTTAAATATTAGGATTTAATATTTCTCTATTTTTTAACCCATTCACAGTTCCTCTCGCATTTACAATTTTTGTCGATGAAATTTGTGAATGTTTATCACGTATTTATTTTCACGAGTGTGATTCGTGATATTCAAAATTGTCATCACGAGTTAGACTCGTCAAAGTACGGCAAAGGATTAACAACATTGTGTGTATATATGTGTGTGTATATTGTGTGTATATATGTCTTCTTTTTTTATGAAATAATAAATGAGAATGTGACATACCTTAAACAATTGTTAATTAATCGAAGAAAATGTGTGTTATAATTCAAAAGCACGTAATACAAGTTTAAAACGTACTTTTCTCTTCGAAATCAAACAATAAACTGACACGTTTCTACTCTATGAAAGTACTTTTATTCAATGTTGTTTATATGACTATTCAAATAAGGAGAAAATTCTCTATTTATTACGAATATTATTCTCGTTATACACATGCGCAACCTTCGGTAAGTCATATAAACAACATTTAACAAAAGAACTTTCACAGTGGATAACGTGTCAGTTTAATTTTAGAGATATTTCAAAGCTTTGCGAGAAAGCAAACGTGTGTAAAAAGAAAAAATAAACAAACGATTGAAATTATTCGAATTGTTCGAAACATAATATATAAATTTTGATTAAAAGTAATATTTTTCTTTGCACGTTACGTTGTTGAAAGTAATTTGAGAGAGAAAAATTCTATTTTTCTTGTTGTTTTTTTCCTTCTCTTTCTTTTTTTTTTAAAGCCAGCACGTTATATTAATCTCATCGACGGATCAATTAGCGTTGTAATTAATAGCTATCGATATTTGAGTTTGTATGCTCGCGCAAATTTCCCAAGATCGGACAGGATGCAATCCTTAATTAGCCGAACACGGAATCGAGTAACACGAGTTAACCGACAACGTTGTGTATATATGTATATGTAACTTCAAGCCCTTCTCCTTCATTTTGCCCTTCGACGTATTTATTACACGTACCCTCATGTTTTAAGAACCCGATACAAGTGTCAATGGCCTTGATCCAAATCACATTTAATTGGATAAGAAAATAAACGATATTACGGGTATTTTTGTTTCTATTTTTTTTTTTTAAATAAAATAATTTTATATAATTTATTTTCTTTCCTTTTTCTTTTTATCTATGTTTGACTCATCGAGATAATAATTATTTCGATGTGATTATACTTATATTGGTGATTGTTTTTAAAATATAAATTTGTATAATTATCGAATTTTAATATAATTATAATAAATCGTTATTATGGTTATTGTTTATTGAGTTGCATGGTATTTGCTCGATTTAAATTTTAATTATTATCTAGAGAACTTGTTTTTCTTTTTAATATTTTAAACAAACTAATAGCCAATTACTATAACGTTAAACAAATATTTGCTTAGTAACAAATTTAAAAAAAATAAGAAATAAATTATAACGAAGATTTCACATTATAAATTACGAATAATGAATGTATCAGAATACTGTCTAACAAATATATCTTAAAAGATATAAATTCGATTAATGATTATAATAAATAATATGATCATTAATTAATGGATTAGATTAAAAAATCATAATAAAGGAAGATACGATTTTCCGTACGTGAATATCGATTTTAATGTACGTTGAATATAAGCTTGTCATGGTTTTTGAAAGCTTTGATCTTAAGCCGACACATCTTTCGATGATATAAAAGTCATCATCATGGTGGTGCATATGTACTGTACGTTTGTTACGTAAAAGTATTATCCTTCTAATGAATTGCATAATATTTAACTGACATATTTTTCATATAATAAAATAGAAAATCTCAACTTTCGTTTGTGCTCTTTATATAAATTTTATTAATTATCTAAAATGTTATTAATTTTTATATTATTTGAATTATTTTATTTCAATCGTTAACATAACTTTTTGTTGTTTAAAATAAAGACAATTATTGTGATGAGTTAAAAAAAATAATAAACAATTATTGTAGCATTAAACAATAATGATAGAACATTTCGACTTTTTTCAAAAATTCGATATATAATAAAAATAAAATATAAATAAATAATAATTAAATTAAGTTCTACTTCTTTTCATGTCCAAGTTCCCTATGAACCTATATCATCAAAAATAAATAAATAATATTGGAAAGAATTGTTTTTTGGAGAAAGTTTTGAATAGAAATAAATCGAATTATAACTCACCTCATCTGGCAATGGTTTTATTCCCTCGCCGAGAAAACGTGCAACACGTTCGGCCTCGCCGCGTACGCAAGCTTCACGTAACTTTTCTGCCATTCCACTCATGCACCTGAATGCAAATTTCCAAAAAAAGAAAAAAAAGATACTAATTAATCAATTAGGTACATTAAATCAGAATAGTAATATGCGAAAATTCGAAAAAGATTTACAATAATTTTAATTGAATTGAATTTTTCTCTATTATTTTTGTTTTTTTTTCATTTTAATAAATGTAATATCAAATATACGTATAATTATAAATAAAAATTATTTCAATACGATGATATAAAAAATAAACGTTATGTTTCACATTTCATCTATCCGATAATACATTTTAATTCTATCCACGTATATAAAGAATTACACTCGTATAATTCTTATAATTAAATAGAAAAAAAAGGAATATAAAGAAACAGTTCAAGTAATATTACATTGTACAAAATGAAATATAAAATTATTAATCGTCAGCTCGATGAGAATATTATATAATAATTCTTTTAAAAAATGATTTTTAACATGTTACAGACATTTGACGCGTATGCATAAGCCAACACACACACACACACAACCATGTCAAACGGACGTCAATTTAAATTAAATACTATTCGTTCGTTAACAAAAGTTGTTAACAGTTGTGAACGGTTAGTTATAATTATCATGGCTGTTAAAAGTAATTCTCTCATTGATTTCACAAAGAATATTACTCGCATGCATAAATCCACATTACACACACACATATACATAGAAACATAGTTGAATACATGCAAGTATACTCGTTTGATTGGTTTTTTTATTATTTTTATATCTCTTACGTTAGATTTTCCCTTCCTATCTATTTATTTTCTATCTCTCTCTTACTTTTATGTTTGAAGCATCGTTATAGTAGGAGGAGGGTAAAAAGAAGGCGTGACAAGATCACAAGAGAACTAAAGAAAGAAAGAAAGAAAGAGAAGGATGATACACTTATAAAAGGAAACAATGATACACGGGGCCATTGTTTTCTTGAAACAATGGACGCCCTTTTCTACCTTTGGAGTCCACCAAAGTCGTAGCAATAAAACAAAAACAAAAACAATAAAAAGGAAAACAACCCTTAAGAAAAATAAAAGAGAGAGGTGAAAGGGTGGGTGGGGGTTTAACTAGTTGTCGGTAAGGATGATTCCTTCGATCTTAAGTATACCCTAATTCGGTTTGTCTCTTTAAAAGGAAATATTTAAAACAACGAAAACTTTGTTGGGGGAACTGAATGGGTGGGGGACTTGGGGAGGGGTAGGTTTTAATAAATACTCGAAAGGGACAAATTGTTCATGCTAACGAGTTAGTATAAACGTTAACGTAATCGAAATTTGATTTTTTTTCGACAAGAAAGTAACTACCGAATGAAAAGTTTGTAGAAAAAGAAGAATAATAAAAATAAAAGATTATTTTTAGTGTTCAATAACCTTTACGCGTTTTTATCATGTATATATATATGTGTGTGTGTTTATATATGTTAACCGAACATCCCTTGAAACGTTCAGCATTCATTTCATGCTCAGTTACGCATCGCAAACTTTATTGCTAATTTGAATAACTTTAAATGCTTAATGTTCCGTACTTTAAAGTCCTGCATAAAACCTGGCACCGCCCAGATCACTATTCTATATACGATCATACCACTTACGTATATGTATATGTATGTATGTGCTAATAAAAGTTTGAACAAGAATAAAAGAAGAAGAAGAAGAACAATAAGAAAAAATTATGTGAAATTATAATGACACGAATAATGGATTTGAGATTAACCACCAATGACTGTCAATCAAATTCTCTTATTTTATTCGATGTATAATTATATTTGTTAATTAACTCGTTGATACACGGGATACTTAATTGAATTGAAAATTATTAGGATGATTTTAATGTAAAAAAATTATATTATTATTATATTATAAATAATATAAATAAATATTATATAATAAAATATAATAAATATCGTGTATATTTTATGTGAAAAATTATTATTCTAAAAAATTAAATTGTGCGTTCGTTTATTTGTTGCTTTTTTGGAAATACAAACGAGACTATCTTGGCTTGTTCTACGGTTGAATCAAATTATTTATTGTAATTTAATAAAAATTATTGGTTTGTCTTGTTTTTTTTTTTCTTTTTTTTTTCAAGAATTCAAATTAGAGTGTTTCGAGTGTCTAAGAAACGTGTAAATAATCATAAGCATTTCTTGTCGTAGCATATTTAAAAGGGTAAAGAGCGTGAAAGCTGGACCCGAGAATGAATGTGTGCGCGCGTATATGTATACGTGCGTGTATATAAGTATCCCTTCGCATATTTATAGGATCTTTCGTCGTGAACTTAGCACGGCCACCGGATGACAGTGACTAATGAAGTTCAGCGAGCTTCTAACGACCGTAGCGAGCTAAATACGTCTTTCGCTTCGTAACAGTTAGAAGGAATTTTAAATGAGCTATGTTAAAAGATAGAAAGAATGTATGTGTGTATGAGAGAGAAAGAGAAAGAGAGAAAACTAGATTACGAGACGACACCGTACGATCGGCTTGATAAAATTTCGAAATAAAGTACATCCGTCAAAATAATCAATTTCAACGATCCAATTTGTGCAACAGACACGTCAGATGCATTTACGCGATAGCCATAGACGGATTCGTAAATTGGATTATTCCGAACGATGAGAAAAAAGATGCTGCATGACATTATTCTTATCGATCGATAAAGCTATTATAAGAATTATGATTGTCAAGAAAGTATAAACCCTTTTTTTTTTTTTTTAATTTATTATTAAAAAATTAAAAATTATTAAAAATTTATTATTAAAAAAAATATCTACCTTCTCGAAGGTAAACCGAAAACAAAAAATAAAATAAAAAAGATAGAACAAAAAATAGGCGCGACTTGAAACAACACACATTGGCTCACGAATGATGATAATTTGTTTCGTCTTTCGTATATATATATACGTAAGAAAAATAATATAATAATATAATATGAAATGATTATAAGTAATGATTTTCTAATATAATATAATGATTCTTCATGTAAGAAATGTGATTTACCATTAGACATTTACCTACTAACACGTATTTATAAATATCGTAGGTTTTTTAATAGAGAAAAAGAAGAAGAAAAAAAAAACAATTTAATAGATCAGTTAGATGATAAACAAACGAAACGAAAAGTTCCTTAGAGAGTTAATAAATCATGATGCACATTTCATTGATGGATTATCTGAAAACTCGAAGCGTGAATTATTCAACTTGGTGTTCGTTTTATTACAACGGTTAGAAAGATTTCTTGGCACTCGCAAGCAAACAAGCAAACAAGCAACCAACCAACCAGCCAACAGGATTCATTCAAGCAACAAGAACTCATTCAAGCAAACGAGCAAAACATACCAAACACCAACCGAGCAACCGTATTTTTTTGTTGTTGTTTTAACTTGCACACCGATCGCGCAGGGATTTAATTACAACGTTTTACCTTTGCACGAAGCGTCATCCTGATCTCGTATATATCCAAAGGTACGTATTGGTATTAGTATCGAACTATCGAGCCAATATTCTGAAGTAGTACCTTCCTTCCTTCCTTCCTATCTTTTACTCTTTCATTTTTTTTTTTATTTTTTATTTTGTATTTTTTCTCTTTTTTCTTTCTTCGTCGTTTATTTATTTTTCATTTTTTTGTGTTTTATAAAACAAGTCATCGTTTGCCTCGAGCAAAACAACTCGACGAAAGGGAAGCTCGTAAAACATACGTTTAGGTATATCTTACCTTTTTGTATTATTTTTTTCCTTTCGTTTCTAAACCATTTTTAATATAACAGAACCCTAATTACCGAACATTACGTAACACTTGATCTATAAGGGAAACTTCTAATTTCCTCCCTTTGGTTGTATCTTCTTTTTTTTTTCTTTAATCGATCCCAGTATTTTTTGTTTATTATTTTATAGATTTGTTTTATATGATACGAGAATGAATGAATGAATGAGAAAGTTAGACACACATGCACGTATACATACACATACGAAAAATATTCAAACGAGTTTGTATATAAATTATAACGCGGGATGTAAAAAGTGAAACGAGAACAGAAATCGATACTAATTCATTTTATGAATCAATATTGGAACTGGAACGAAATTAATTTAATTTCTTTTTTTTTATTTCTTTTCTTTTCTTCTTTTTATAATTTGTATTCGTTTCACAATGTTTATCTTTTTAAACATTGATATAATGTAATTAATAATATAAGATTTACGATAGCAAGAGAGAAATGAGAGGAGAGTTTAATTAATAAAATTATAATATAATATTAAATAAACTTTTAATGCGTTATGAATTTAAAAATTTGACAATATTATTAATTATCTAAATAATACTTTAAAGATAGTTTAACATAAAGATATAAAATATACATTTATGATAATTAAAAAAAAAAAAAGCTTTAAATTACAAATATTGATTTGAGAATATATTAATTAACCAATCAACACCTCTCTCTCTCTCTCTCAAAAGAGAAGTTTAACTTAATAAAAAAAAAATCTATCAAGAATCTTTCATCCTTCCCTACCTACCCCCATTTTTCCTGTGAATTTTACTTTACGAACAATAATTATACGTGTGTATCATAAGAATTAAATGAAGTAAATCATTTAAATGAATCGCGTGAAAAAGCAATTTGTTTGAAATCGTTAGACGATAATATTCATTTTGAAAGATAATAAAAGCTTTGAAATATATTCCGTCTCGTATTTGTCAATCTCACGATCAACGAGGACTATTATTATTTTATCATCGAGGATGCAAAAAGTATTCTATCTCTCTCTTTCTCTCTCTCTCACACACACATACATACATACGCACACTTTCTTTCTTTCTTGAGAATGAACGAATGAAGAAGAAGGGTTCGCAAATGGCTCGGTCGACATTCCAGACATCGAAGGTACTTCGATCTAAAGGCAAGATCGTAAAGTATGCCTCTGGGTTGGCATCTATCGAGGGTCTAATTACCAAGAAGGGACTGACTGGCATAGCCATCTTCCTCGCGAACGGGAAATT